GTGTACTAGAAACACATTACCTTGTTAATACATTGTTTGGAGAGTGCATATACTATGACTATATTTGGAATAGTCCTTTTTGAGATGTCTGTAAGCATGTATATGCTGCATGACTATATATAGACATTTCATATAGAAAATTACAAATGCAAGAAATTACAGAAAGATTAATTAAGCATTTTAAAAATAAAGAATATGCAGTTGCTTCTGAAAAAAAGAACTATACTATTCATAGTGGAAGCAGCTATGAAGTTTATCAGAAAATTCTGTGACTTTATAATAGTATGGGTAATAACATTTTCTTTTCTATGAAAAGAAAAATAACAGTAAAAGATCCCTTTCATCCTATGGATAGCATTCAAGCACCATTGACAAGTGGAATACCTAAAAATTGTAGTGCGAAACTTCGTAAACCTAGTCAATTTTCTTATTCTAATGATATGCAATTTAATGAAACTGAAACAAGTCATATCGATGAAATTAACCAAGAATGCGCTAATTATGATAGTCTTGAGGATTTGTCACTTTCTGAAATTTCAATTAATAATATTGAAAATACTTCAAGGTTTGCAGAACCCCACTCAATCCGTAAATGTAATACTACAAGAATTCAAAACAAACGTCAATCTCATACTCAAACTGTAAATTACAAAATTACTACCTTGTATTCATATTAGTATATTGCATAATTATTACTAAAACTAATTTTATTTTAATTAACAGATATCCAATAATGAACAAGAAAATGATGCTACTTTTACTACAAAAAGATCGCTTGAAGAACTTTTCCTTGAAAAAGAATATGCTTAGAATCCCTGAGAGTTTACGAATATGGTAGTGGAAAAAAGGCTATGACTCAATGATGATCCTGCTGAAAATGGTATAAAATTATATAGGTGGATTAGTAATCAAAAAGTTCGTGCAAAAAATACAAATGATAATTTAAACTAGCACCGGGTATTATAATTTGAGTTTAATAGTGCTATTAAATAAAAGTAAAAATAATACATAGTGAATTGCATACGTATAAATATCATTAATAGTAAAATAACTCATATAATATGCTATGTTTCTGGTTTGAGCATGACTACATTATGTAACTACCTGTTATTGTGATTAATTAATTCTTGTATTACAATTTTTCAAAATTAGCATTATGATACATACATATTCGTATTAATCATATTATATGGCTATTAACTAAAGAATTTTTTGCTAAAGACATATCATAAAATATAAATCTAGTTTATATTACACAAAGTAAATAAGTGTAGACCTTTTTAGCTTCATGTAAAATTTATACTTCCGTTATTTTATTTAAAAAAAGATAGAATTTTTAAATAGAACATTTGTAAGTATTGAGTTGTTAGCAATTAGCTATTAAGAGGTTTGCATATGAATATGTATAAATAGATATCACAAGTTATTAAAAAGGTTTTCATATCATAATGATAATTAAATTATTTCCAGGGGTTTTTTTTTTTTTAGATCTATCAAGAACGGTATGACCCTATTAAAAACAGTATGTAAATCATTTTTTTTTTTTACTCCATCAAGATCAGTACCGATGATCTATCAAGAATAGAATTTTGCGTATAAAGTAAAAAAAAAAAAAAAAAAAACTTCACTACTTTTCAACTTAGTCACTAAAAATCTACTAAATGAACTTCTAATATTATCATACCTCTATTAACTTTACTCAAATATCTTTAAATATAATAATTGCATCTCTTGTAATAAACAAGAAAATTCTCAACATTAGCTTTTCTGCTCTAATAATTAATCTGTACATTTTCTAATACTTCAAATAGTCTAAAACTTTTTTTCAGAAGTATTACTTAATCTTCTTACTCAAAAAACTCAAGAATTACACAACTAACTAACTGCTTGCTCATCTTTTCAATATTAACTACCTTTTTAAAATACTCTAACAATTAAAACTACTCTTCAAGGATTTATACCTTTCTCTTTTATTAAACTACTTATCACATAAACTGATATATATAAAATAGCTTAAAACTTATTACTTAATTCTTTCTTAAACTCTTTAGCAATATTTATGAGTAAATTTAAAAGTCTTACTATGCTAAATTAACTAAATAGAAAACTACAAATAATATTTCTAATCAACTTCAAAAAAATACTTGTTTACAACAACTACTATATTCAAGTTACTTCAAAATAGGCTATACATATATATATTTATGTAGCCAACTTGACCAACTATACAATAATAATAATTTATACCCTCCTTTTGAACTAGCTCAATACAAAATTAATATCTAGTCTACTTTGTGAGCTAAATACAGTTTTTTTTTTTTTTTTATTTTTTTTTTTTTTTTTTTTTTTATTTATTTATTTATTTATTTATTAATAATATCAAAATAGAAAAAGAATTAGTATATTTGTATATTATGATAATATATATATAGATCTAATATATAAGCTGCTGTCAATAGAAATAAGGCAGATTAACATTTTTAAAAAATTTAATACCTTAACTTTCACAGCTTATGTCTTAATAGATTTTAAAGCTAAATTGATGATTTAATATTAAAAAGAAAGCTAAGATCGTGAGCTTTCTTTTGAATATTAAATCATTAAGATAGCCTCAAAATCTATCGAGATATGAGCTGTGAAAGTTAAGGTATTAATTTTTTTTAAAAATATCAATTTGCCTTATTTCTATTGACAGCAGCCCATATATTTCTAAAGTATATTGTTGTTACTAATATTAGTTAGTCATCTAATATAATATTACACTCTTATTTTCTATTGTTAGCTAATTTAAACCTAAGTTACTATTAACTATAGAGGAGGTTGAAGGAGACCTCTAGCTAAATACAGTTATTCATCTAATTCTATTATTAACATTCAAATTTAGGTAAGTTTTTAACCATTCTAGTAGGTTTAAATTGCAGATAAGTTAAATAGTTTATTATTTATAATCTAAGTCTTAATTCTTATAAATAAATTTGTATATTTTGAGAAACCTCTTGTGAAATCTTACACAAATTTTAATAAAGATAAAGACAAAACTTCACCTTAATATTAAAAAAAAAAAAAAATTATTTTAGATTATTATACCTGTCTACAATAATAATAATAAATAATATTAATGAAAAGTTAGATATTTTTTATAACCTTTAGTTTAATCTCAATATTGATCAAAATGATCAACAACTTGTACCTGACACTCTGTCTATAGAAGATAAGTTACTAACTAAACAGAAAGCACTACAACTAGTATCTACATAACACTATAATAATGAAGATATGAATAATACTTAAGATCTATGAGAAATATTTAAAGAAATAATAATTAACTCTAGATAAGCTATAGAATACAACTTTGATAAAAAAACTGATTTTGATAACATTGATATTTTTTATATATTAAATAAAGAAACTATTGTTATATCTACTACTAAAAAGAAGATATTATCTATTTATACTATAAATAATCTTATTCAAACAAGATTAAAGCAAATTCAAAAACTCTTACAACTTAGAATTAACAAGTGCAGATTACTTAAAAGTAATTAGATTCTTACTGATATTCAGTTTTACTTATACTCAAACTTGCCTACATTCTTGAAGAATTTAAATAGAGATTTTGTAAAGCTAATCAATATAAAAAAGAAACAAACTCAAGATAAATTAGTCAAACAAATTTTGAAAAAAGTAAGAAAATATATAAAGTTACATTTTAAAGAATATATTTTAAAGTACTATTATTGTTAAATTATATTTTGGTTATATATATTCATATAGTTAGTTAGTAAAAATATATAATTTATTAGTTATTATATTATTATAGTTATATAGTTATTAGATATTATATTTTAGTTTTTCTCAATTAGGCCTAGTAATTATAGTTATTAGGATAGATTTGAGCAAGGCTGGAGCTCTTATTATTTTATTTACTTATGTTATTCTTCTCAAGAATTAAGTATATATAAATATATTACTATACTTATTCTTTATTTAGTTTGTTATTTCTAAGCAAAAATAACTAAAAGTTAGATATTTTACTTTATTGAAAAACAAAAACAAAAATTAGAATAGCACTAAGTCTTATAATTAGGTCTAATAATAGTATATAAATAATTGTTAAGCATGCTAGAAAAGAATTTGGAATTCTTTATTAAAAAAATCTATAAGTTATATATATAGTCTAGTACTAGTAGATCTAATAAATACTATATATAATGAAAAATTGAACAATTTTGAAAAACTTGAATAATTAGAATATAGTATATATTTTCATATTACTATACTTATTCTTATAATAAAAATTTAAATTTGAGTATTTAATTACAATTAATTAGGTTCTTAACTTTTAAGATATTGTATTCTTAAATCTATTATTAAAATCAATTCAGTTTAAGTTGATAATATCTTAACAAAAATATTTACAACTTATCAAATATTTTATTAAAAAATATTTTTATTACTTTGATAACATCTATAATTTAGAAGTTACAACAATATTAACAACTATAATTTTATTAAATATAGTAGAATAAAAATTTATTCAAAACAAAATTTATCTCTATATTTAAAGAAACCAAACCTAACTATTCTTTTTCTACTATCACTACTCCTATTATTATTATTATTATTATTATTATTATTGATATTACCTCTTTTTAAAACTCTAAATCTGCTACTTGAGCCCTTAACCTATTTTTTTCAACTAACAACCTCTCATATTCTGCATCTTTCATCTAATTTCTTTGCATCTCTTCTACTATTATCTCTTGCTATACCTCTACTTTTTCTTTTAACTAATGAACAAGATGCTGTAAACTTCTTATCTCTTGAACTAATCTAATAATTTAGAAACAAAAGTTTAAATATATTATTTGAATATACTTTTTATTCTCAGTTTAGACTATATTCAAAGCTTCATAAAGAGGATTACTAGAGCTTTCTCTTAGACAATAAGCAAAAGACCTTTATTATTAGTTATTAAAGTAATAAGTTATATTGTTTATTATTATTATTGTTATTATTTAAAATTTTAAATTTTTATTTAAAGTTTAAGAATTTTATCAATCTTATCAAAAACTTTATATATATTTTATTTCTATATATCACTTGACAAAATTTAAATATTCTTATTAAACAATTATTATAATATCTTCTACTTACTATAAGCTATTTTTTAGAGAAGAATATAGTAAGTAGGCAAGTAGAAAAGTTATTTAAACTACCAAAGTTTCTAGAGTTCTTTTACTCACTCTTATTAAGCAAGTGTAGAAATCTTTGTTAATCAAAAAATTTCAAAATATATTACTCATATATATAATTATAAAGGTTATATATTAGTCTTGATTTTTATTTTAAAAACTCACTAATAAGACTTTTACAAGTTTATATCTCTAGACAGAAAAAAAACAACTCTGCAAAGAAATACAAGAATATATTATCTCATTATTACAATATTAAACCTATAAAATTATAATTATAGCAGATTTTAATAGTTTTTTAAATATATACTTAAACTGATCTTTTTCTAAAAATATATCTATACCAGAACTTTAACTTACAAAATTTTTAATAAGCTACTAATATAAAGATATTTATCATCACTTCTTCTCAAAAACTAAAAATATTACTTTTTATTAATTTCATATCTCAAGTTGAATTGATCAAATTTGAACTAATCTATCTATATCTATTATTGATTATACAGATATTATTTCTGATAATCAACTCTTTCTGATGATCCTTTTTCCCAAAAAATTCAAAAAAGCAAAAAACAAAAATTTTGTTGGAGACGATGAAGAAGACTCTTTTAC